AATGGCGTCTCTTGAAATGAAAATACAAAAGAACTTTTTTATAAATGCACGCTTACAATGACTTTTGATGGCGTACATAATTTGATCCTCATCAACATGCGAGCACAATATATGCGCTACTTTTTGATTTCCATGAGCTGCTAATTTACAGTACAAATTGAGCGTCTGACGATGAAAAGCCAACAAATCGTCGTGTTCGATCATTTCCAGCACATCGTAACTCATGTCCTTTTCCGGTACATAAATGGACATTATACGTACCGGGTCATCGCATAACACTGACCAACCTGTGAAAAAAAAAAAGAAACATCCACATCAGTGGCATTTTTGAACGTGGAGAGAAAGATAGGAAGCGAGCAGGAGACGGATAGATGAAGCACTCGAGCGCAAAAATAAACTGCACAATATTGAGTAGGTTAAACAAAGTAAAGCGTACGTTAAAACATTGCACAAGTTAAGGTAAACGAAATTTAGTTAACAGCCTCATCCGCAGCAATTCTATATAAATCTACGTCCCGGCGGCTAGACCGGGTTTAATACCAGTTAAGCAGATCAACAACTGAAAATTCACTCAGTTGCCTAGTTGGAGGTTTTTATTAAGCTAATAAGATCCAGCAGGTTCTAATGATTTCAAGTTCTGGCGCTTGCTTAGACACCAAAAACCTATATCCGGCCCCACCCAACGGCCAATTCTAAGCTTAGTACCAATTAGGTGAACAGCGGCTATAGTCCACTCAGCTGTCCATCCCTGACAGTTGTAAAAGTCGATGAATTTTACAAATCTTTGTGATAAAGCGATTTAGTGTTCATTTAAATTCCAAAAACCCATATGCAAATTAGTTTAAACGGCCAAGCCTTAGTCTCATAAAATTCGTCAAGTAGATGAACAGTTAAACTTCTTCATTTAGGCGCCCAGCTGAAGAAATTGGCGGATCTGGAGACTGAGGGGCGCGAGGGGGAGGGGGCGAGGGGGGAGGGAACGAAAGTATCAAAAACTCAGAGCTGATCATAAATAAAACTAAAGTAGCTCTAAGTAGCAGTTACAACTCTACTTCTAGTTTTGCATAGTTCCAGTTTTGCATAGTTCCCCGTCCTCCCCAGGAGTCCGTCTTGGATCCGTCTATGATTGGAGATCTCTGTAAAAGTCGTTGAAACATGACAGATCTCGGTGGTAACAACCTTACTGTGTTGGGCCTAGTACTGTGAAAAATATTACTCGGAACTTGCTGACAGAACCAAAAGAAGGTTTCCTTGAAAAGAGGTGTTTGGTCAGGTTGCCTATGGACAGAGGTGTTTCGGTTACTTTCCACACGCAAACTTGCTATAGGCGCGACCTTAGTTTGCTGAACGAGGAATGAAAGCCTATTAGCAATACCTCGAACGTCCGACAATTTGAGTGCCGTTGTACGAAGGCATTCGTTTGGCACTCGAGCCCAGTGAACGCGTCGCAGCTTCTCGACCGTAAGCCGTGGTGGACAGAACGGCTGCAGGCTTTTCCGTGATGACTTGAACATCGCCGAAGAGAGTGGAAAAGTGAACTGCAACAAAAAAAGAGGTTAGTTATATTTAGTTGACCGATACTTGGACGTGAAACTGAAAAATGTAGAAAAATCTGAATCGTCGTTTTTTGTCAATGCGGTAGTGTAGTAATCTAATGCCCTCTTCCTTTGAGGATTAGCAAGAAATTTCATGGATTGTAACCGATCACAGGAAAAAAGAAACTGCTGTTAAGCATCTAGGATGATGCAGTCAAAACTGATCAACGAGGATGGTACCATCAACATCATCCTGTTGTTGAAAATGTAAAAACGTGTTTCTTTGATTCCTATGTTCTTTCAAGTGTGATTTTCAGATTCAGGCTGGGCTGCTAGGTCCTAAACGTCCCGCATCGTTGTTTCTAAATCGAACGAATATATGTGGCCCACATCAGTTTCAGCACACCCTATATGAAACATGAAAATATTTGAAAATAACATAAGTTGAAGCATACTGCCACAAAAACTGATCAATTTAGCAAAGTAAAACATGAAGATTTTCTTTCGACGCATATAAGGCACATAATGATCAAATCAATTTCAGCAGACATCTCATTTTTTTACGAAAGTTCGGTTTTTTGCGTTGGCAGACAAAAAATGTAAATGTTACTTTGAGTCGTCCAAGCTCAAACTGCAACACTTCCGCACTTGTTGGCGCGACAAATGCTGCTGGATAAAGCATAGCTCCTGGTTCAAGCTGAAAAATTTTAACGTTAGATGATCCGGGTAATTTTTAGGACATAATACCAAAAACGAAAAGACTACCCTAGTGGTCAATATAGATATTCCATGCTAGTAATGTTAGTGGGTGCAGTCATGCCAGGTCTTTCGATCCTAGGCTGCATACCTCCAGTTGCCTACCGCCTTTTTAATTCACATGCGCCACGAAAATAATATTTATGACAACTGTAAGAAACTTGCGTAACTCATATTACATTGTTCAATTCTAAAAAGACACAGTTGAGAATAAATTAAGACGGAGACAGTATTGTGAATATACCTTGTATCGAACACCGGTATCTTGACCAGCGGCCAAAAATGACAGCTCTCCAATGGATGTGTCGATGATACAACCGATCAGCAGACCCGAAACTTTTGTGTTCGCTGCATCTGGCACCGAATGTAACAAATCTGCTGCATTTTTCACATAACAATTGCGATATTCCAAACTGCAA